AGCTTAAAATTAATATCTCCATTGTGGGAATTCGATATAAATTATTTTTTGCTGACTTCATGTCAAATCTACCCACTGTTGTGATTATGTTTAGAGACACAATCATCATTGTTCAACTAAGTATCCAGTCAAGTTACCAATATTAAATGTGCCCTAGAACACCAAATGAAATGGCAAATGCTTCTATGGTGTATGTTGGCTTTACATTGCTAATATAATTACTTAGAAAAAAGCTAATAGGTTACTATTTGCCCTGAAATTTTGCTTCATAATTAGGACACACTCAGCATACACTTATTTGTATAAAATCTAAAAGATAGAGTAATTCAAGAGTATACTGAGGTCTTACTGTTACCATGATACTAGAATTAAATTGATAAATTGAAACATTGATAAAGAAAGTAGAAAAAAAATTGCTGCATTATGCAATTAAAAATGACTACTATAAAGTAAGAGAGTAAGGGTCCATTTAGTAAGTTAATATTAAAATAGTCTGTAATTTTACGAAGACTGCCAAAACTATAAACTGCATTGGAAAGTGTCCTATACATTATAGTATATTAAATAAAGATGAAAAATAACTTGAACTGTATCAATGCCTACAGTATGTTTTCTAACTTGAGGGAAGTTTCTTCTTCCTCATACAAATACAGTCATATCTGGTGTCAGTTATTTGAATACCAATCACTGAAAAATCATAGAGAGACTTCTGAATCTGAAATTCAAATAGAAATAGGTGTGACAAATCTTAAAGTCTTTATGTGGCATTGTCATAAATAATTTCAAATTCCAGAAGTGGCTTGTATGATAAAATAGATCTGACTAGCCCAATCTTCTCTCTGTTTTTCATAGTAGCATCTTGTCACTTTCTGGTAAAAATAGGATTAACACTTTATATGCTATTAAAACAAAAAGTCCACCTGCTTTATACTCATTATTGGAGATTCCAGAATTGAGTGGATTTCACGGGAGGAATGTGGACAGAAATCCCAAAATCCTGACTGGACAGGTTTGATTTGAATCATTGGATGTTAATTAACATGGATTTTCTGTGTTGTGATTTTTGAAGCAGAATTATTAGGTTGTCAAACTAAAGTCTTCTGAAAGTATTTTTACAAAAGTCTTCTACAGATCTAAAAAGTTACTGAGCTGAATTTGATTGGGGCATCTTATCATTTTATTTGTGATTGCATTTACCCTAAAGAAGGATGTAATATGTTAATTAACTCGGGATTTCCCCACAACTGAAGAAAAAGTAAATCTGTCTCTTAAAACCTGTTTTTGTCTCTGTCTTGGACTGGTAATTAAGTTTCATTTTTAAGTATTCACATAACACTCCATTTTGTGGTCCTCCATAAATATTATCTTCTGTTTAACAAGAATTTCCTTTTTTATTTATATGCAATCCTTCTGGATTAAAAAGTTTGTTCAACCAATTTAGAAAGAAGATATGCAAAAGTGTCTTTCATGGTAATTGCAATTCCTGTATGATGAAACAATATTATATAAAATAATATTATATAAAATAATACTAAGTGATGATCTGGTTTCCTATAAAGTGAGAAAAAATATGCATAAAATACATATACCAGTGCAGATGAATAGGGAAGTATTTCTGTGGAAGAAGAGCAAGAAATTCACTGAAATAGGAGTTTGCAAAATATCAGTGACAGATATGAAAACAAAACCACATCTTCACAGCTGATCATTTTGTGCAATGAAATTGCTAAATGAAACAGATGTCTTTCCATTTCTCAGCTTGGCTGACATGAATCACAGATGCCCATTAGCTAAAATAACTATAGGAAACACTTTATACTAAAAGTAGCAAAGAAATATTTCACAGAACACTTTTCTAGTACTTGAGTAAAATGAAAAAAATTCTGCAGCACTGATTGACTAACGGCTCATGCATTTCAGAGATGGGTAATGATTCACCATACAGGGCTGTGAAGCACCTTGGGCAGTCTATAGTCACCTTGATTCCTCTAGTAACATCTGGATTTAATTAAGAGCTAAAAAAAAAAAAGAGAAGTATTCTCTTCCATTGTTTATATATACTACACATTTTCACCCATTGAATTATGTCTGGAAGACATGCTCATTTTATCTATAGCTTTGTTTTTCCTGATCACCCAAAAAGACCTGAAAGGTTATTCTGATTTTGAGGTTTTTCTACAGTAACTCTGTACTCTTAAGTAAATACGTATCCTTTAAATTGGATTACCAAACCAAAGCCATCATCAATATTTTTTTAAAGAACATAGTGTTATACCTTGAAGTGTTCTTCTTACGACATAGGTTGGTATTCCTTTTAAACATGTTGCTGTGAAGTGCAGCTCTCAGGTCCCTAGAAATCTTTGTGTAGATGTCTCAAAGTCTTATATTCAGCTCCCTTTCCAGACTTGTGGCTATATCTGGGGAAAACAAACAAACAAACAAAAAATCCCCAAACCACACAAGTAGAAAGTTTAAGTTTGGCAGAGGTACTAGGTTAATTATTTTCTGAGCATAAAAACCATTTTCAAATCGCCGTACTAAGATTTACACATAGCTACAGGAGAGGCAGTGGAAAATCATCAACAATGATAGTACCTTAGATATTAGACAAATAACTATGTTAAAAGATCTTTACGTGCTAAATTTGATCTAAATATTGTTGTTCAAAAGCTTTATATTTTTTACTGGAGAGATTTTCTTAGTTTTCTGATTTAGTTCACCACACTGTTCAGGCTTCTAGTGCCAAGCAATATTTTAAGGCACCAGAATATGATTATTGGGATTGCTAAATTATTTTTCAAGTTCCTGGCGTAGTTTTGCTAAAAATCACTCTCCAAAACAATTTCCATGCATAATTTCTCTGCTTATTTTGGCCCGACACTCTTGCAGGGAACTGTTTGCATGGAGTCATGCTGCTCTGGAGACAATGCATTAGAATGGATTTTGCCTGGCTGCTTACTGGTTTCTGAGTCAAAGAACAGGCACTGCAGCACTGATTCACTATTGTCAACTTCTGTGAGAATTAATAATACCAGACCTGGCTTTGGAAAGCATCTGGGAAAAGTGCAACGTGCCCATTTAAAGACCCCTCCCAGATAGGAACTTATCTTAGTTTCTGTCACAGGTCTAAGGAAGAGCAGCCTCTTTTCATGCTCTTCATCATTCTGCTGTGAAAATATTTCATGGTCATGGACCAGCAGTGAGTTCCTAGGACCAAAATGTTTTTGAAGTGAAATTATATTCTAGGAAGACATGGAGAAGAAAACACTCAAGGAATACTTACACTAAATGACATTTCAAAACAGAACACAGCTTGAAAAATACTGTCAAGTCCCTTAAAAAGAAGGATGAAAGGTCACAATTTTTGTGAGTCATCAAGGGAGGAGCATGAAGGATTAAAGTTCACTTTAAAATTAATTCCTCAAAAGAGGTGTGAGAATGGCTTGAAACCTTACATTTGAAGTCATCAAGAGAAACAGAAGAAAGAAAAATATTTTTTTGAAAAGGATTTTTCTTAGCATCTACCTTCCTACTCTTTGTTTGGTGGAGTTTCCTATATTTTTTTTTTATTGTAGAAAGAAAAGAATCAGTAAGACAATACTCACTTTGTAAAGTAAACATTCATGTGTGTAGTGTAAGAAAAGTTTAATAGGTCTAAATACCTTTAGGTAGAAAATCAAAGTTCAGAACATGATAGTATTCAAATTTCTACCATGATGGCTTTGATCCAAGATGCCTGGTGAGTTCTGTCTGCTCCACATATATCCAACTCTGTGGGAAATATTCAGTGTCTGAAAACTTTTCACAACATAGAAGTTTACTGTTTGACTTTGGCTTATCCCACCAGTCCACTCTGTATGTTTGTTTCCAGCACAAAAGGCAACAAAGGAAGGAAGGAGGTTATTTATATTATGCGACATGTGTAACATTTTTCATGATCTGAAATGTAAGCTTAAATTAACAAAAGCATGACTGAATATATTCTTACTGAAGGTCTAACTAATGCTGTTATTACATATGCAAATAACTATTTTTAGAAAGAAAAAAATGCACTAGTTCTTAAACTGGAATATTCTGATATTTCTTGGGTGTGATTTAAAAAAAATATATTTGCACTTTATTATTGTAATAAGAGCTTCTACTTTATTTGATCCTTCTGCTGAACTCAAAAGTAAGTTTACAAAAGGAATATATTTTGTGGTAAAAATAAATCTGAGTGCCAGATTATTTCAGTTAATTATGGAATCAATGAGATTGGAAGGACCTTTCCAACAAGGTATTGAGAGAAATTATGCTAAATGTATCCAAAATATCAAATGAGCCATTGTCCATGCTACTGTACTGAACAACAAAACATAATTGATTAGAGGCAGTCAGGACTGAAAGGTATACATGTGAAGTTTAACTTTATATGACTTAAATGATGGGTGTTAAATCAATACTGAATGCTTAATAAATTTTAGTGTTTTTCCTTTAGTCTATTTGTATTAGTTGAAGGAGTGCAAGTGATAATGACTTAAAATAAAATGTTCCCCAATTTGGGAGAAATATAAATAATATGAAATTAAATTTTTAAAACATTATTATTTCATGAATCCAGTGGTTCTGTTTTCCTTAATTGTCTTGTATTTAGCCCTGTTCTTTATCTGCTTATTGAATTTACAGCTAGCATGGCAGTTGTGAATTTTTAATAAGATCTCTTCAAGGAAAGAAAAGGTCAGTATTAACATAAAAAATCTTCTTTAAGAATGTGGTGCAGAGGTTTCTTAGCAGAGAACAGGTGTTGCTGAAAAAGCAAAATCTTCCAGAACAGTGAAGTTGAAAGATTCTTGGAGCTAAGTTAGGAAACTGGCTGTCAGTCAGTGGTGAATAAAATTACTTTCTTAATGGTATCAACCACATTTGTTGCATACAGAAAAACTTAAAATATAATAATGATGTTTAAAAATCTTCATTATTTTCATTGCTTCTAAACAAAATACTGTCTTCTTCCATTTCAGCTTCATTCTGACCAGGATAAGGGAGATGGATCCCTCAAATACATTTTGTCAGGAGATGGGGCTGGTACTCTTTTTATAATTGATGAGAAAACAGGAGATATTCATGCAACTCGGAGAATTGACAGGGAAGAGAAAGCCTTTTACACCCTGCGTGCCCAAGCTATAAATAGAAGAACTCTGAGACCAGTGGAACCTGAATCTGAGTTTGTCATCAAGATCCATGACATCAATGACAATGAACCAACATTTCCAGAAGAAATTTACACTGCTAGTGTTCCTGAAATGTCAGTAGTAGGTGAGTTCTCTATACTGAGGCATAAATGCCTTTTCTTCGTTACTTGAAAAATTATTTCCCTGTCTTCTCAAAAGTCAGTCATGTGCAGAATTCTACATGATGATTTAAGTATTTTTTATTTTGACATATTCGTTCAAATATTGAAATGGCACTTGGAACCAGATTTTTATGATCTGAGATCTGTTTCTACTTGGAATATCCAAATTATTGGCTTTACAGTTCTTTGGAATATAAAAATTATATATAGTAGGCAATGGTGAATCATCCTCCTCCTTAGGAACTGTTAGAATAAGATGACTAAATTAGCCTGTTGAAAGCTCAATTATTTTTTTCTTTCATTTTCACTGGAAGTTCCCAGTGGCGATAAGCACTGAATGGAAAGCTGTCTCCACTCTCTCTCTGGGTGAGGAGAATTATATATTGACTCATGTACTGTTGATGCACTGTCTGAAGGCAGACACCCTCTTTCTTTTCTTTCACTTTTTTACTGTATAGACAAATCCTCTTGAGCTTTCACTTCCTCCCTTGACTCTATCCATGAATGACACCTCCATGAATATTAAACAGCTGTTTGAGTTAATCTTTCTTCTTTTTGCAATGTATTTTCAGTTCCTATCTTAACTACAAAGTTGTGGGCTGGATCATACCAGCTGGTGAATTTTATGAACAGTAACATTTTGGAATATGAGTGCATGCAATTCATTAGAAATAATTTTGAAAAACTTAAATATATATTGAGTTTCTTTTAAAAAATAATATTAATTTATTAATTTTATAACTGTAGCTACTATAATACTAAATTCTAAAAATTCAGAAAATAATAAATTCAAAATAATTTTTGGCTATTATTAGTATTTTAATCACTTGCACTGCCTGAATAGATCAAACAGGTGTTTTAGATGACTGTTGAGATGATAAGTTTTTAAGATATTTTATATATACAGGTATTAATGATTTAGTACTTATTTTCCTTGGCCTTGAAAAATGCTAAAAGAGAAAAAAAATACATAATTACTGAAAGAGAACGGTCTCAGCAAATCTGTGCAGCATTGTATGGAAGCATAATATTAATAGGTTTTTTATTCTTAATATTTCAATCTGCTTTCAGTTTGTGATTGAATCGTTTTTAAAATTCCAGCATTCAGCAAGTGGTTTTATTATAAAGGAAAATAAATTTAGAAAAGAAAAAGAAATCTGACAGATGATTGTGTAGGACTGTATTGAAATCTCATCAAATCAGCCCACTTAAAGAGGAAAATTCTCTCCTTTTTATGTGGAAAAAAGAGAAAGTCTTCCACCTTTACTGTTCCAAAATCTAACAAAATGTAATACCAAATTACTAATGTACTGGTCAGTTTTCTACATTTCCATAAACATATACAGCTTTAGGCAGAACATCTTGAAAGTGCATTCTGAAAGAACATTGCTGCATCTTCTAGGGAAGCATATGGCAAGATGACAGTAGGATTGAAAAAGTATGTCTCAGAATTTCCACTTTATTTCTCATGTTCTTTCTACGAATTCCAAAATGCATTGTTTAAAACATGATTGGAAAGATAGGAGAAAATTACTCAGTGTTTTCATTAAATACTATGCCATTATATAATATTAAGTTATAAGCTACTGATTCTTCATTTCATCAGTCTCAATTCCATAAATAACATCTTTTTCTTTGTGTTCTCAGTCACGACATTATTTCAAGGCTTCTAAAGTATTCAGACTGCAGGATTCCAGTGTATCTGTACAGCTGTACATAGATCATAAAATTTAGAAACTGCAAAATATCAACATTAAAACAACAAAACAATGAGATATGATAAGAAAAATACTTAGAAAACAATAATTTATAGAAAAACAAAGAGCAACAAAAAACCAACTTGAGTGTACTTAGTGTGTTAACCTTGTATCTTGCATAAATAGCTGTGCTGAAACAAATGGACTTTATTTAGTCAATAAAATTATAATAATTAAGAGAATTATACCTCAGTTCAAATCTATCATGTTCCTGGATTTTATAAATGCAGCCATTCAGCTGCTAGAGTGATTGACTGACTTCCTGATAGGTAGCATTTTCTTTTAGCTTTTATTACTTTTAGCATTATGGCTGATCTCTAGAGGTATATATATTCATCTGTTGTCCATAAGAGAATGACGTGATTTTATAAAAATATATCATCAAAATTGATTCATTTCTTCATAACTCTAATTTAATTCTCCAATTCAAAAAAATCTGCTCAGCAATCTGAAAGCTAAAGGCTGAAAGAAGAAGGGGAGAAATCTTCTAAAAGAATAAGCTGCATAAAACTTCTGAGAAAAATAGAATTAGTAAGAAATGGTGAAGTCAGTATGTTAAAATTATTCACATTTTGGTACAATAATAATATATTACCACATAATTATTACAAAGTATTTTTAAATTAGTATTTTTTCTGACATCATACAATTCAAGCATTTTTAGTACAGCAACTTACATGAGAAATTTATGCAAAAAAGAAAAATTACATTTTTTATAACAATGTCACTTCTCCATTCAAATGAAAATAGGAGGAAATTCCTACAATTTCTATTCTTCTCTTTTTGGATTTTTTTTTTTTACTATATATATATATTTTTTTTATTATTTATTTTTTTTTAGGTGTAGTGTTGTGAGCAGCCCATTACCTGCCCAGTACTGTTGTCCATGGGCTAAGAGACTGTTAGACTTGATGTAAGGAATGCAGATAGAAATTGCAGTCTTGGATGTAATTGCGCTGTTCCATTGAATGTCCCCTGTAGTACTCACTTCCATGAGAATGTAGAAACACTTAATCTTTCTATAAATATCTGCAAACATTAAGAGGAGTTTATGATATAAATATTTTCTCAGTGATTTGTGCCAGAAAGAGAAATCACAAAGCTAAATTACTATGGCCCTTACCTGAGTAGAGATGAGTTACATGGTTCTATATAAAGTATGGTACTATCAGGACTGTAATATTTTCATTATCTAATCCAGAGTAGTCAACACAGTATGGCACTATGCTATATATTGGGAGTCTGAGAAAGAGAGACATTGCTGGGGCCACACCCTGCCTTCCCTGGGTCAGACCTGCCAAGCAGACAGAACACCATGTGAAGGATTCCCTATCCTCCCTCTGTTCCACTTTGCTGAATGCAGTGACTAAAGGGACAGGGAGAGTGGTGACAAGTTCCTGCCCAGTCCTGCAGGTGCATCTATCCCATGACTACCTTGCTGTCACAGGTGCATAACAGGCAAGGGAGGTGCTGATCCCTCTCTGCTGATTTGCAATAGGACACAAGAAAGTGGAATGAAACTGTGTCAAGGGAAGCTCAGATAAGACATTAGGAATAGGTTCTTCTTTGTGAGATTGGACAGTCACTGGAACAGGTTCCCCAGGAAAGTGTCAGTGTCTTGAATGCTTCTCTTAGTCATATGGGTTAGCTTTGTGTAGTCCCATGAGAAGCGGGAAATTGGACTTGATGATCTGTATGTATCCTTTCCAACCCAGTATATTATATGATTCCATGACAGAATTATCCACTAAAAATACATCAATACTTTTTATAGAATGACTTGCACTTCTGCTACTATTGATATATCCAAATTCAATAGTTTGCTATCAATCAGGTGTGAACGCTGGATCACTAGACAGACACATAATCAAACAGTGTTTTTTAAGATAACAGTTTATTCAAACCAACTGCATAGAAAGAGATCCTTATATATAGAAGTAGGATTGGTGAGTGACAATATTAAAATGGGGTGAAAAGCAAAATAAAATACATACCACTTTCACTATCAAAGGTGAAAGGACCTTGTGCAGATAGATGGTGCAGATAGAGAGCAGACAGATGCCATGCCTCTTATTGGAGGACACAACACCAGAACAATTCTCTTTGTTCATTGTTTTCAATTCCTGTGGAGGTTGTCATCATCTTTTATATATATTTTAACCACAAAAGTGATGTTTTATAGTTAATAAATATTTGTTCTTTTTTTTTCTTTGTTATGCTTTAAATCCATATCAGTCTTTTATATGGCTAGTAACTTACAACTTGTACATGTGCCTTGTATTTATGTTATGCTCGACTGCATTCTCAAAACCTTGGTCATAACCTGCTGACTGCATTCTCTGTCCTGGTTCTAAATATCAGTTTTTATGGACTTAATCTTATGTCTACTTTAAGAAGTGTCAAAAAATCTCAAAATGTTAAGTATTTGGCAGTTTTGCCACTGTATTGTCTATTTCTACACATCTGTACTGCAGCCACTATGGTGAGTGCTCATATGAACCTTTTATGCACTTACCTGGGTACCAGAAAGAAGGCAAACATGGTATGACATCATACAAAGAAAAGAATGGAATGCTCATGTGCCGAAAACTTGAAGTGATTGAAATCTGTGCCCCCTTGGAGTGCAGAGTTTGCTCCATCCTGAAGTTCCCGGTGGTAGAAGGAACCATGCGGTGATCAGGAAGTCAGGACAACAGTGTTTAGTCTTTATCTGCTCCATATGCCTCCATCCTTAAGGTATCAAATCATGATGTAGCCATATACCAGCCTCCTTCAGACCACAAACAGCAGCTTTGATTTCTTCCTCCGGCTGTGATACTAACCAGATAGACACCTGAGAATATAGCTATTTCTATTATCAAATATAGTATGTTGATAAATGCCCATAAACTCTTTGTTGTCTTGTTCATCTTTCTTCTGTTGCTCATTAAATATAGAAAAGGCAGACATAAATGGGCCAACTTCAGCATCTTGCAGCTGGGTCAATATCCTAGAAGAAAACGTATTCTCCTGAAGTCTTTGTACTGATTGCTAGATATTTAATAATTTTTCACTTTTTCCTTTCCTTACTTTCACAGTTTATGACCCAGAATATTCCTGTGGTTCTGATGACAGTCTTCTTCTCTGTCCATCATATTTTTTACCTATCTCTTTCTGCTCATTTGGAGATTTCTTTTCAGAACTGCAGATAGTCTCTTTTCCTCTAGATGGATTTTCCCGTGGATTTTGCCTATTAGTGTATTTTAGAAAAGTTTTCAGAACTCTCTATTTAGACCTCTTTTTATATATTTATATATCTTTACAGATATATTCTCTAATCGTTCCTTATCCTTATTGCATCTTGTAACTTTTCTGCTTCTAAATGAGGGATATCAATATATGTTTCAGAAGATGTAACCTCCTTCTGGGTTTACTTCTGGTGTACAGGGTGCCCTGTTGCCCTGTCATCTCTACCTCTTGTTACATATTTTTCTTTCTCTTTAGACAGCAGTTAGAGCTGCTTAACTTTCTACCTTATCTTCTTATATACTCCCTCATTAGTGCTGTTCACCAGTTCTCAATGCTTAGTCCTCTCTGCCATGGAATTCATCTTACAACATTTCCTTCTGGTTTCCTACTAACAAAGGTATTTAAAAAGATCTTTTTCATTTAAAGTTCTCTCAACAAACCCTTTTGCATCTTCTGACTTAGAACATCTGAAAAACTCAAATTATGATTTTTCGGATTTTTTTACGAAGTTTGATTTTACTCTGCATACAAATCCTGCCATAAGGAGATGGAGCAAAAAGTTAAAAAAACAAACAAAAAACCAAGCAAACAAATGCCCAAGATAAAACATTATTTTTTTTTCAATGGCATCTTAAAAGAATTGAAATTATCCACTCCTGCGCTTGTTTACAATTTATTGCTTTCTAAGTTAAAGGACTACCATGTAGTCAAAGATCTTTCTGACATTGAATTCTCTGAACACACAGCCCTTTTCAGTTCTTTTCTGTATTCTGCAACTTGAAATAGATTATTTCAGAGGAAAACATGTGTCATTATTTCTGGAGAAAATAGGTGCCATTATTACCTGTCTTTTGCACTAGAAAGAGCAGAAATTTTCTATTAATTTGGCTAGTTATTTGTATGGATAATTTACTACAGAGGATACTTGCTCTAGTTAAATATCACATAACTCAGCTGGGATTAAAGAAAACAAAATCTAAGTTTAGAATCCAGCTCTATGGTAGATATTTTGTGGATTCCTTTTCCTAGGTAATTATTTCCAGTGATTTTTATCTAATATGTATGCATCATAAATGAATTGTGAGGTCAAAGTCATTAATACTTGTATTGTGTTTGAAGATGCTTGCAGAAAACATCAGCAAGGGCCAAATGTATTAATTACTGTTACAGTCCTAGACCCTAGGGAGAGTCAAACACTGTAATTAAAGTTATGTTAAAAATGGCTTCTGAGAACCACAATAATCTGAGAAAAGACTGTTTGTTTCTGGGCCAGGTTTACCACTGTTGAATTCCAGTTCACGGTATAGTAAAATAGGCAATTATGCAAACAGAAAATAACAGAATTCACAGGGGTGTTATTAACAACAGAGATAGTGCCATATTCATAGATTCATAGAATGGTTTGAGTTGGAAGGGACTTGAAAGATGTAGTTCCAACCCCCTGCAGTAACAGGGATGCCACCCACTAACCACATTACTCAGAACCCCATCCAGCCAGGCCTTGAACACTGCCAAGGTTGGGAAATCTAAAGCTTCTCTGGGAAACCTGTTCCAGTGCCTCACCCACCCTGACAGTAAAGAATTTATTCTTCATATCTAATCTAAACCTGGTCTCTATCAGTTTGAAGCTGTTCCCCCTTGTCCTATTACTACACGGCCTTCTAAAATATCTGTCTCCATCTCTTCAGTAGGTTATCGCCATCTCCTTCATGCACTCTTCTAGAGTTCAGATTAGGCTTTAAATTCTGAAGTTCAAAGACCAACTTCATCAGAAGCAACCTGTGATTATGTAAAAGACAGAGCAAGACCTAGACCAAGTGATGATCACTAAGCAATCCCTAAACTGTAGTTTTTAAGCCCTGACACAATTGATCATCTTCAATGCCTTTGGATTTCTTGTCCAGGTTTTTAAACCAGAACAAACAATACATTTTATTGAGCATCTGTGGTGTACAGTGTACTGTAGCAGAGCAAAACCAGCTGGCAGTAAGACAGTTGTTGTGCACAATGTAACTGATAGATTATAGCACTACTCCTGTTCACTTCTTGACATGGCTTCTGTCAGGTTTTTAATAGGAATTGTTGATCCTCCCTGCAGAAGCCTAGAGAGCACATCTCTTTTCCTCTCCTAGCAAGGGCCGAGATCAAAGGGGAGCTCTGCATCCTGAATGGCACTTGGAAGTGTAGTAGTGCCCTTGCACTTCTCCTGCCAGGTACCTGACCCATAAAGCTAAAAAGCTGAGGTATTATAAAAAAGTAAAGTTCATCCTTACCACATTTGGGCAGTGGATTGTACATTGTCCTGATCATAACCCACCAATTGCATTGTGCAATAGTGATAAAATCAAGGAGCACAAGTCTCTTTCCACACATTTTAAAGGGTGCAAATCTAGGTTTTTTTGCTCTGTTTCATGGGCATGCACACTGAAATAGTATTAATTAATATATATTCATTATGACATTCAAATAAGACAGCAGTAACTGTTAGGCACATATTATTACATTTAAAAAATAATTATTTTAATATATTTTAAAGTTGTTAGACATGTTCTTCAGTTTCATTTCAAATTATTCTTCAAAGTTCATTCTCCATGTATTTTTAAGCAAAAATGAAAAAGAAGTCTCATACAATTTGACCTATTACTAGATATGTCTAGTTTCACAAATGAAGGAAATATGAAAACTAGAAAAAAGAAATTATTCAGTTACATGTAATAGAGACAAAGTATTTACTTTCATGGATTTCCAATGTAGAAGTTTCTGATTAATGCATTGTGATGTTGTGACCAATGTATTGATTATGACTGTTCTGGTTTTATGGATATGAAATGGAGGAGTTGTAAACTTGTACAATTCCATGTTGGTCAGTGTACTCAGTGGCTTGGGGGTTTTTAAACTGGCAGCACTTCAGTACTGAACACGATTTGTCTTATCCTTCTTTTACACAACTGCTATTTCAGAGTAGATGCTTTTCAGGAAGAAGTATACAATCCAGCACTGAAGTTTCTCTGTAGTAGGATGGTCCAAAAGTGCATTGCATAATCAAGACAACACACTTCAGAAGTTAAATATATTAAACAGAAAGGCCTATTCACCTTTTAACAGAACAGTTATATAGGCATATATCTACACATGGAGTTCAGTGTGGCTGAAGACATGAGATGTTTGTGAATCATAAAGAGACAAAGCTTTTAGAACAGACCTATCATCCCCACATTCTTATTTTTTTAAAAAAGGTTGAGATTTTCAGATTCAGACATATTCTAAATGGTTACTAAGGCAATCTTTAAGACAACGAAAAGCAAAGAATACAAAGAAAGCTATTTTATCTTAATTTCTTTATCCTTGTGTAGCAATTTTTATCTTAAAATTTTATTTTGTGTTTGGGTTTTTTCTCTGTTAAATTTGTGGTTCACTCCATTTTAATATAAAACAATATAACCAGCAATATACTCATTTTGCCTTCTTTATGATACCAGTACTTTTAGGGACTCAAACAAAGTATTTCTGTTCTCTAGCAGTTGAAAACTGAATATTTCTGAGGATTCATCTCTGTTTCAACAGTTAGGCACATGCTCATTCCCTTGATACTTGTGCTATGATTGAACAATTTACTTGTAAAAAACAGATTTTTCATCATGTTGTGAAATCCCAAATAAATGGAGAAAGTATTTACTTTTCTTTGTTTTTCTATATATGTTTGAACAAATATGTAGACAGAAAATGCGAGGGAGTAAATAGTTGTGCCAAGGGTCTTGGATTTACAGGTGGGGTTTTTTTTCATATTTGGCAGTGTTTGGTGGGGAAAAGAATTTTTAAAGAATTGGGATAAAAAGAGAAACAAGTTTTAAGGTCTTCTGATCCTCAGATTAGCCCATGGCTAGCCAGTCATGTGCATATGATGATGTTTTTTTCTCTTTTTTATTTTCAATTCTTTCCTATTAAAATAGTATCTGCACTTTATGGATACACAGTAGGGGGGATCCTTGCTCATGCTTTATTATCTTGATGGAAGAGTTGCACAGGATGTAGAAAATATTTGGAGGAAAAACTGACAGTGGTGATGGCAAATACTTCATGTTTTGAAAGACTGGTATATTCTACTAAAATTTAGAGAAGATCTTTAAGGTTAGGAAATTTTAGGTAATTTAGGTAATCTAAATAACCATCAGATTTCAAAGTTCATATGACAATGTTTCTTCTGGTAGTATCTATCTATAGTAACACTTAGAAAGCAGGGAGAACTGATGACTTGTTTTTCACAAGTTCCAATGACCTGTTTAATCATCTTTTTCTGTCACATTACTGCATATGTAGTTTCATATCATCCTGATATCACTGAACAAAAGAAAAGAAAAAAAGAAAAAAAAAACCCACAAAACATCCCAAACCCATTCTAGGCAATGAAAAGCAGATATTGCAATAAAGCAAATTTCTTCTGCAAAGAGGATGTGAATACACAAAATTATTGAAGCTAGGTAAGGATTCAGCACAGACATAGCTATTGTTTACATTATTAAATTAAATCTTAAACACACCTGTGGGATTAGAGAAGTTTATTTTCAGTTTATGTGGAAGGAGACCCTAAATAAGGAATAATATACCTAACCTGACTATAAGATCACAAATATATTTGGAAAATCCAGTTAACATTAACTGAAATTTTCTTTGGTGTCTTTTGGAATGGAAATTGATGCTCTGAGACCTCTACATAGTGTCATGTGCAACTAAGTTGGCTTCGGATTTTTCAGGTACTTCTGTGGTCCAAGTTACAGCTACTGATGCCGATGACCCTTCATATGGAAACAGTGCCAGAATAATTTACAGCATACTTCAAGGCCAGCCATATTTCTCTGTGGAACCAGAAACAGGTCATGGAAATTTTAATTATTTTCATTTATGATAAACTTTAAACATTTCCTTTCATTTAAAAGACCTTAGATCACCTAAAAAAATTAATTAAAAACTAACTGAAGGGAAAGAGCATTTCTTGCTTTTTTCTCATGATTTATAATTTTATAATACATATAAAAACTCAAGACATCTGAAATTATGAAGTATAAGTAATTTTAAAGTGGTAAATATATATTTATAGCTTAAGATTTAAATAAAATTTCTGATAAGGCAAGAATAAAGGCTTTTTTCTTAGAAAATATTATTTTTTTTCTAATTCTTCTACCTGGATTATCAAATGGTTTTCCTTGTCCTAAACCTTGTACATAAATATCTTGAATCATTTTTAGCATGAAACTGGAAAGAGACCTGTGATGTAGAACACGTATTCAACCAAGACACAGCCTGTAAAAAAGACTACTATAATTGTAAGACTACAATAAAACTTATGGACAAAAAATTCTACTTTGAAATATTAAATGACTATTTTAGAGATTTATTTCAAGACTAATATAAAAAAAGATGTAGCAGATTGCTGCACATAATCAACAAATACATTATTAGCGATTTTGTTTTCCAATTTATTTCTTTTAGGCATCATCAGGACTGCATTGCCGAACATGAACAGAGAAAACAGGGAGCAGTACCAAGTGGTTATCCAGGCAAAGGACATGGGAGGCCAGATGGGTGGATTATCAGGGACCACCACCGTGAACATCACACTGACTGATGTCAATGACAATCCACCTCGCTTTCCCCAGAGTAAGCTGCATTTAATAGTTGACTTGTGCTGTAAGAGTTAAGCAGTCACCATCTGGTTTAATTTAGAGTAAATCTAGATTATGTGGCACACATAAACAAAAGGCTTATGTGCTGATTATTATTATTATTAAAACAGTATATTAAATGTTAGAGCATTTTTTTTGTTATAAAGTAGTTACATGATCAAATACAGCTACAGTAAACCTGGAATTCCTCCCAGTAATATGGGGAGCAATAGTAGGTGGACTTGTAAGAGCATTAGAACAATGTTTTTGCTTTCTTTACCTATTGCTTAAATCCTACATGCTCTCCCACTGGAGAATAAAACATGTTGTAATTCCAGATACGGAGAAATGTTTAAAATGAAGTAACTGCTTAAATATTTAATCATGAAAACGTGAAAAAGAAATTACTCAAAGAGAATCAGACAGATTTGTACTTTTTCAGCTATAGAGCTACAAAACAACATAGAAAATTTCCCAAATTAAAGTAAATGACATTTAACTTTTTTAGGGTTTTTAATAACCTTAGTGAAGGTTTTCATAATTCTTTTTGCCTTTTGATAATACAGCTGTCAAAACTCTGTATCTTCAAACCAAAATGTAAAAATGTTCTTGGTCTCTATGTGATATGGAAATATTAAACTATGTAACATCGAACTTGTAACAGTTAAGTATTCTAAATACATTTGAAGCCTTTTGCATAAATTGAAGTTGCAATATTTGCAGGATGATTTAGATTTAGTTAATACGTAAAGGATTTGGAGTATCCTCACCACACGTTTTATACTCTCTGCATAATTCTACTCAATCCAGTCGTTACTGATGCACTCTTCTTGATCAAAATAACAGAATCAGCTTCAAATTATGCTCTTCATGGCACAACTGGAGTACATAATTATGTTCAATTTAATATTGCAGTTAATATATATGTGTTTAACTAAGATGTTTATCAGCATGTCATTTCATGTACACACTTGAAATAAAACTGTCATGCACCATTGAGTAAGCAGAATTTGTGCATTTTGCTAAAGTCGTATTCTGAACAGAATTTATTGTTAATTTATCATTTTATTTTCTTTGCTTTTCCTCATTTTTTTTTTATTTATTATTTTTATTGCTTCCATTTGTATATAGAAAATTCTGGTATTTCGATTGTTGTATAGGAGATGAATACTGCATTACTCCTTTCTGGACACACTGAAGAAGACTGTTCAAAGAGGGGTCATGTTCAAAGCCTTACAGAAAAAAAAATAACAGTTAAATTTAAGACAGCATAGAAGCTTCCAAAGTGCATATTTATACTTTTCTTTTTCTCTTTTTTCTTGTTTGTTAAACAGTGTGTTAAATTAGAAGTTAGAATGATGGAATCAACTTTTGAGACCATTTTAACATGACTTATCTGGGAGTCCAACACAACAGTTGAGAGAGAGAAGGATTTGATCTAGCATCTCTGCATTTTTGCTTAATGTCAGTTGAAATCAGATGTGTCATTTACTTTAAAGAAACTTAATTTTACTCTCATGGGCTTTTGTTGTTTGGTTTTTCTCTCTTTCTTTGTGCCAATTTCTTTGTTAGATATAAATGTATGCTTCATTGAAGATGAAAACTAAAACATTTATAAAGATGACACATTTTACTATATATATGAAAGTAGAAATAGCTATTGATTTTTTAAAAAATATATATTTAATCTCAAAATGGAAATAGACAATAAACTTTTTCATAATTTTAACAGAGTTCAGTGAGACTGCTGGAATTGAAACAAATTAAGTTAAATTATTCTTATTCTATTCCATTAATTAAAAAAATCCCAGATGTATTAGGTTAATGAAACAATAATATTCATATCAGATTTATAAATTACCAGGCTAAGTGTTAGAATGCTCATTATGTTTCCATAGGACTCAGCATATTACAGCTATATGTTTCAATAAAATGTTTAAGATCTGCTTAAATGTCTTTCACAAGAAACTCATATTAAAATTGTGGAAAATTCGACATAATGTATCATACTTACTAAAAAAATATATATCTATACATAGAAGAACCCCTAATTTCTCTGTTTACATTATGAAGCAATGATTCTTCAGAATTTTTTTCTCTTCTTAAAAATATACTAAAACCCACACAGATAAAAGTTGTGATGAGATTGAAAATTTTTTCAGGGTTCTCCAGAAAGGTCTTCAATGACCTCAGACACTGGATCTCTGTTTCAACTGTAATATTTCCAAGAGTTCTCAAAAGTAAGGAGATAGTGCTGATCAGTGATAAACAGAAAATATGATTTATGGACTTAGAAGCCTGAGTCTGAATGTAACTCAGTGCGCCCGAATTATGGCAGCCCATGTCTCCTCTGAGACTCTAGCCTGTAGTACTTTATAATATTTACCTTTACATTATATGCTTATTCAAGAATGAATGGGAAGAAGGGTAAACGGAAAAATAAGATTGGTTTTTCATTATTTATGACTGACTGAAGTATTTGCAATCCCAAGTGTGTAAACTTTAATCCTCGAGCTGATTTCTCCTGTCCATAGTATATGGAAAAGTATTCCATTCCTTGATCCTCCCATTTCTTTTCCTGACAGACAAATGAAAGGACATCATTCACTGGAGTAAATGCAAAGAGTAAACTACTTTCCTTGAGAAGAGAGAAATAAGATTGACAGCAGAGTTTTGCAAGGATGATTCTACTTTGGTGTACTTTGTATTCTAATACAGTGTCTAAAGCTGTACTGCATCCCATACTTAGTCAATGCATTAAATGTCTTCAGTGACAAAGATAATAAAATGAAGCATCTCATACTGTGGTGGAGATTTCTAGAAATGAATAGATTAAAAATTACATTTTAGATGATATGTTTCTGGTTATTTTTCCTCTCTGTTTCCACTACCTTATTAGCAATTCATGATACAAACTCTTATCGATTTGTAGAATAAATTAATGACTGGGGTATTGCACTGGGAATCAAAGTCAGTCAAAGTAGTGTCCACAAGGCAAAGCTTAGAGATGTAGTTTTAAGTGCTGAAGAAAAAAAACACGTGGCAAGTAAGTAGCTGACACCTCATAAAAATAATTATAACGTATAAATATTAATTGGGGGTAAAAAAAAGCAGTCTTTCACCATAGCATCCTATAGTGCTGCTTAGGTACTAAACTGGGGCTAATTTTTCCTTTTCCTTTTTTTTAACCATTTTTTTTTACAAAAATTACGGACAGAATCTCTACTAATGAAGTATACAGGTTTAGATACTAGAGAAAAGTGATGAAAATGTTAGAGAAAATGCAGGATAAAATACTCAATTGAACATCAAAATGTGATTGAGAAAAAAAATACACATATAAATAGAATGTGGGGTGTACGTGTCCATAAAAAATTCATTCTGCTGGTATATGTCAGTTTCATATTAAAATATACTTTAAAAATATATGAAGAAATTGAATTTAAATATTTCAATATTTTTCATTCAACGTTTAATTGAAAACTAAATGTGAATGCATTTACTTTTTAATTTTTAATTTTTGTTTTTTTAGGTTAGTCAAATGGGAACATAATAACGTAACAGAACAGAAGAAAAATAACTTTGCAAAAGCAGGAAAAAAACCTCAAATGACCCAGTAAATAATAGGGGTTTTTTTGTAGTGTGTGTCAACCCTGTAGATGGCTTGTAATACACCAGTAATCCTCAAATGACTCATACTTTCCTGAGATATGATAAAATCATGTTGCCAGTGACCTTCCTATACATCCTTGACAATCTCTCCCCATGATTCTTCACAAAACTAATACTCACTTAATGGACTTTCCTGTACTACTTATTTGTGGCAAAGTATGTATGTGTTGCTTCTTTTGTAGCCTGTTCAACTTTTTACTGTTGTGGTTGCTGCCCTTTACCATTTTCACTTTTGTGTTATTTCAAGCATACTTCTAACTTCTTTAACTTAGGTAGTCTCCAAGTAGAATAGAAGATCTTGGAAAACTAAACTAAGGCCATAGAAGAAAATGTTTTCCAAGAGAGTTTTGATGTATTCACTTTCATCTTTGGAATGACAACTGTAGATGAATTAATTTTAAAATATTTTTTTCTGAGAATTCTTCATAGCGCATTATGTCCCCCACATGGTTTTTTTCTAGCGTAAGTTCCAACAGATGGGATCAAGTATCTCAACCCTTATTTACAGTTTTCACACTAAGGCTAGGACATAGAATGCCAAAATATATGGTAAGATACTTATTTCAGTTTACTGCAGCATGTCTGAATGATGACAGGTTGATTCCTACGTATTTTATCAGCTGTATGACACTACCATAAAGGGATATAACTGAGATAAGAAAAGTAGTACAAACCAAGAATTGCAATATTCATAAGCCTATTTAAGTATGAATTAACTACTTTACCAAGTATAGGCACAATTTCTGCTCGTAGATTTTTAAAACACCTCCCCCTGCATTAATGTGTTATTCAAATTTATTTAATAGGATATCATACTATCTGAAATGTCAGTCTCTTGCATAGAATTGGCCAGCAAAATCAAGGAATTCTATTCTTGTCATTGCTTCCATGATAAAATACATGTAAAATATATCTCTAAGATTGTCCTTAGATATTAAGGGGTAAAAAAGAAGAGTGAAACCTGGCAAGAATACAAAGCAGTCTTTCCAGATGATATTTCAGGAATGAAAGAAAATGAGGACAAGAATATTACAAGGAAAAGAAAGGCAAGAAGAGTGCAGATATAGTTGATTCTTCTCTCAGATAGAATAACCCTACTTTTCAATGAATGTTTTCTCAACTCTCTTTTCTATGAATGTTTTTTGTACAATTTTATTTTAAGTCTTCTGTATAAAGCTTTCCTCTGGATAGGTCTCTGCCTCGTATTTTCTCATCTCGCTATTAAATGGCAATTTCTCTAGAATAAAAAATACACAAAATTATGTTATCAGCTGTGTCACACAGTGTTACTTCATGCATGTGTCCTGGCCTGTGGGGGTCCTGAACGGCTCTTTGTCTCTTTGACAGGTACCGTCCATCTCCGCATTCCTGAGTCCTCCCCAGTTGGAACAGCCATTGGCAGCGTTAAAGCCACAGATGCGGACACTGGAAAAAATGCAGAAGTAGAGTACAGAATTATAGATGGCGATGGGACTGATATGTTTGATATTGTGACACAGAAGGACACGCAGGAAGGCATCATCACTGTGCGAAAGGTGTCTATTAACAGCATTCACTAAATGATTTTGATGTCAATGTTGTGTCACAAACATTCATTGCTTACATCATGTGATAACACATGCTAACTGCTTAACATTTGCAAGCATCCCCCATCAGTGACCAAAAGGTACTATTGCCTTTTAAGATGAATAGGAAATAAAAGGTGGTGACCATATCTAAGATGCAGCATGGGTTTAAAGCATTGTTGCCAGCAAAGCATGAAAAGGTGGACCAGCTGCAATGTGTTAGCACTAATTATCTCTGTGAGGCAGAGATAATAATGCAGGCTTCCTAGGTACTTCTGTAACCTGTTTTCTTCAGCTGGCAATCAGCAGCTCACTCACAATGAGAGTCTAATCTAGAGACACGGACTTTCCTTCTCTGTGAGATTCTCATGAGATCTATATGCCAGAACACAGACATGAGTTGCAAGCTATATGGTTTTGCTCCTGTTTCCAATGTATGAGAGGGCTGCCACATGAGCAGTGTGTATGTAATGAAGGTGTTACTGTCCCAGAGCTAGCTTTAGTTCTGCCCTCTGCCTTGCATTGTCAGAGCACTTTCAGATGTTTGTCTTCAAAGCCTAAGATCTCAAAAGTAGAAATGCCACTCTCCTACTCCTCAAAAATTTCCATTCCAGAAGTCTCTTGGTCCTTGTCTTTGGGACTTTGAGATGAACTCCAAAGAGTTTAGGCACCTTTTTTAACATAAAGCACTGTTTTTATTAGCTTTCCAAACAAATGTCCTTAAGGATGGAATAATGAAATAAACAGCAATATAAAAGATATCTCCACATCCCTTGATAATGTTTACCAAGGAAGACAGAAGTTCTGCTAGAGTCTTCCTTTTTAATTTCTGTTTTACTGTGAACATAGTCAGTGTGGTTGTTTATCTGGGAAAAAATGAAAAAAAACCAAAACAAAAAACCAACAAAGTTTGAGGTCTTATATTTTACTTTTCCTAGTTTGTGAAGGCTTCTCTTGAGATTCTGTTTTCTTGCTTGCTTCAGATTTTCACACAGACTATTATATTAAGTCAATAGCATCTTGAAAAAAGTCTAGTAGCTGAATCAAGCATAAGAAATTTCCTAAATTATAATACAGCAGTTCCAAAAATGTCAATAAATACTAATGAACAAGATCTTCTGATTTTGTCATTAGCAGTCTGACAGAATTTGCATTTTTCAGGATGCTTTCTCAGTCATGAATAAGTAGTTTATTCAATACCACAGACAACAGCACTAACAAGCAAGGAAGGAGATGAGAATGCTCAGTTCATTGATTCATTAAAATAGTCTCTTTTTTTTATTATTATTTATCCACTTTGATTGTAATTTCTGTTTTCAGTGGTGAATAACTACAAATAGCTTGTGTTCCTTTTCAAAGCCTGTAAGTTATTAAGTCTGAATTTATTATGTGCTGTAAAAGAACTTTTTCTATACAAATTTTTCTATACAATTTCTCACAGACAAAATAATTGATTTTCCACAATTTCATATATTTGGGCAAGAGTTTTGTTCATTACTGTTGATGTCCTGAATTATGTGTGATGTGCTGAAATATGATGTGATGCCTGTATAATCCACAGGTTTCATACCCCGTTTTGCACTGTAGCTGGAGAAGATGTCCAAATTGGATGTGAATATTGCAGTAGCAAGTTTACATATTCATGGTGCACATTCTGCCATATTAAATCAATTAGAATAAATCAGGACTACCATGTCTTCTTTGCTTTTAGGATTGAAGCCAGAGTCCCTTAACAGCTGAATGATGCACTTTACAGACACAGCAATAGCCTTAGATCTAGGTTAAATAGTTGCATTTCTCAGTTGTATTCATAGATACTCTCCCATCTGCTCTGACTACTTTTTAAAAACATGTCTGGGGCAGTGGGGAAACTCATTCTTTTACTGGACTGCATCTTACTGGTTTTGAATAGTGTGGTTAAATATCTAAGCTGTCACTTCAGCATCTTTAGTGAACATTAATTAGTATTTAAAAGCAGCCAGGCAGAAAAAAATCAGTTATCAACCACCCATTTTGATGAATGAAAACCACCACTTCTCTATCTCTCTGAGAATCTGTGGGAGTTAATAAAGTCTTCTTTGTGTCAGAAAGGTAGATTTTCAGCTTGCTCATTTCCTTAGAATCATTAATTAGCTAACACTTTTCATCTATGACAGCAAGAAAAATTTGAAGGAATAGAATTCTTTTCTATCCAAAATGATTTCTAATTATAACCATGAACTGTTCCTCCTTCCATTTTAAAAAGGAACTGCTGACAAAAATGTCAAATATATTTTCAAAAAAAAAAAACCCTCTGATGCTGGGTTCATTAAATTAAATGAAAAGGAACACGATTAAACCCTACTGTTTCTCTAGATACAGAGACACCTTCCTCAAAAGACACCTAAAACATTCCTGGTATTTAAGGCCAGCTATGTAGGCTTGACAATAAGAATACTCTGGTCATTTTGATTATCCAGGACTTTACAGAATTTCCTGTGAAATATTAGTGTTGAATACCTTGTTCTGGAATGTTTGTATTTCCAGTCAGTATCTCAAGCATTTTAAATGGTTGTATGATTGCTTCAAATCCATATTCTTGTGAAATAGCTGCAAAATTCCTTGAATAATTGGTTAATTTGCACTGGAAATCTTTTTGTCATTCATGCTGAGATAATTTAATTAATATTGAGGAAAAGATACTTCTTCTAAAAACAATGGTAATTTCTTATTAGACAAAGTGACTCCTGTGGTGGGGAAAACATTAATTGTGTTGTTGTTCCCACACTGCAGGGTAGGATCTGATAACACTTGAGCCCTCTTCAGTTTCCATTATGTACATCGGCCAACATCTGTCAATATGTAAATCTAATTTAATGAAATTTACCACAATTTTCATTTTTAGCCACTGGACTATGAGACAAGACGACTTTATACTTTGAAAGTAGAAGCTGAAAATACCCATGTGGATCCCCGTTTCTATTACCTTGGGCCTTTCAAAGACACAACTATTGTGAAAATCTCTGTAGAAGATGTAGATGAACCTCCTGTTTTCAGCAGGTCCTCGTACCTTTTTGAGGTGCATGAAGATATTGAGTTGGGGACAATAATAGGAACGGTAATGGCACGGGATCCTGATTCTGCCTCAAGTCCAATAAGGTAATACTTCAATGTCTGTAAACACATTACTTGCTAAAGAAATTAAGATAAATAGCAAGGCAACATTAATTTCACATAGAGGTTTTTTTCTATTATTTGTGTCCTAGAGATACACAGAATTGGGAATGTTGCTATCTGTAAACCTACAAACAGGTCAGGCAACAGCAATTTACTTGCACACAAGAGACATAATTTTTATATTCATTTATATTTTTTTATAGTAAATATTTTCCAGTGCCTCAATTCATAGAAAACTTGATTCCAAGTAGGCTCATCAGGATTTCTTCTTGCTTCACACTATGAAAAGCTTTTAGAGTGCTGAGGAAACAAGTTCTAGTCTTCAATAAAACTAATATCATATATGAAGTAAGAGGAAATGCTTATCATATAAGCCAAGTAGTCTTAAACATAATTTTTCCAGAAAATAGCAGGTTTTTGTTTTATTCTAGTTCGGAGTTATTAGAGTAAGCTAGTAGTAAAAACATTTGAGTAGGTCTTTATTGCACTATCAGAAGTTTTCATTGGCTGCACTAATTTCCTTTTTTTTGTTGTTTTTATATTCATTTTGGTGCTGACTTGTTTGTTGGGGTTTTATTTGTTTGTCTTTTATATTTACAGCAATTGTGTGTGGTGGAGTGAGCAAACAACAGCCACAAAAAATGTATAGGTATTACTTTCATTTAACAGCATTTTTTTATTTGGTTCAGTCTAGTTAAGTTCTGTGAGTGAAACCAGATACAGTTGATGAGAAGTTTAGATCACTCATAAATTTTTATAGAAACATAAACATTTGTTTCTATTGTACTATACAAATGTACTCTATAAAAAAATTGGCCCAATTCTGACACATATTCTGATAATCATTCTGTATTTGACAAAATCCTACATTTAATTCCACATGAAAGATTCCATTCTAATTTGAAGGCAACATAATGTTACATATTAAAAAAAAAAAAGAAAAAAGAGGAAAGAGAAATTTTCTGATGTTGGTTTGACATCACCATATCATGTTGGTGAACATCTTGCCTGCCAAAAGTATAGCAACTATAGAAATATACAAGGTCCTTCAACATCTGTGCATGAAAGTTAAAGTTCTGCATATTTTACATGTTTATACAGTTCTTTTTTATCTTGATCTCTAGTGAATTAATACATCCTAAATAGTAGAAGCAGAGCTTATAGCAATACTTTTGAACAGCTTGTAAATTAGCTGTCAGTCTCAGTCTAAAGAAACAGTATATCAAAGACCATTTTCCTTTCAGGATTAAATGAATTCTTTAATTAAGATATTGAAATTCTGCTTTTTTTAAACAATTCTCCAATATTCTTGTAAAAGATCCAGTTATCAAATATTACACTGTTGTATCACATTTTTAAAATTCAAATTTTAATTTCTTATTCTATGGAGCCAATCTTCAGAATTTTCAAAAGTATTTATAGAAACTAAATATATGTCTTTTTAAAACTAACCTTAGTAATGTAGAACATAAAACCTGTACTGACTTGTGAAATATGTTTTCTTTGACTTTCTATAATTTTGACAATACTTTTTATTTCATTATCTTGTTTAGGTTTTCTCTGGATCGTCACACTGACCTTGACAGGATATTTAACATTCATTCTGGAAATGGGTCCATCTATACTTCTAAGCCACTTGACCGTGAGATATCCCAGTGGCACAATCTTAGTGTTATAGCAGCTGAAATTAGTAAGCTAATTTGGTTTTTCATTTTCCTTTCGGTTTTCCTCAGCCTGTAAAGTTACAGTGGCAGCTTTGTAATGATAACACCCCTCCTTTATTGTACCCCTGCCCCCTTCTACTAGATAGCCAAGAAATGTGAATTGTGGGGTAGCTAACAGCAGCTGTCTCTTCATTGCTCTTTTCCTCACCTACCTCCATCACTGACCTTTTATGTCCAAGTTACTTCTGAAATGTTAGCCAATTAAATAATAAGAGTGGAACAATTCTTTATATTCCTTTTATTGGAGGACAGTAGCATGATTTTGTTGTTAAAATAGCTGAGTTTAGCATATTCTTCATTTTCTTAGAAATAATTTAAATATCTTTTCCTATTGTATCTACACCTACAGCTCTTGGAACCAATATATCTTACAAGTTCCTTTCAGTTTGGTCCCGAAGCTCTAGCATTTCTTGGACCATTAAAACATCTTTCCGTAAATATTTTCATGTTAAGAGTACACAGAGAACAGCAGATATCCTTCTAAACCTACTGCATTATTGAGAATAGCTTTAATCAATGAACAGAGAATTTTCTAAGGGACAAAGTCTGATCTTTGAAATCAGCAACTAAGAATCATTTCCTTTCAAAATCACTAATTTTTTTAGGGCTAATTCTGTATCAGTCAAAAAAAAAAAAAATACTGATCAGCAGTGAAATGTGGCTGGCAAGAGCTACACTAAAGAGGACTAAATGGAACATTGTGTCCTGCCAATTATACATTCAAAAAAACCGGAAAGACCTGTAGGTTTTAGTTTTTAAAAAAACCTTTTTTTTTTTTTTTTTTTTTTGGTGATGCTTTCTTTGATGCTTTGTCCTGAGTTTGCCATTCAGAGTGCTGTCCAGTGTTGTACAGATTATTTTCAGATTTATATAATGATGAAATTTAGTATCTTGTATGACTAGATCTTAGTGCTAAACATATCTCTTTGTCAGGAAACTTAGAGCAAATTTACATTGTGGACATATCTGGAGTAGCTAACATTCTCCACAGAGATATGTTTCTTTTGGAGAAAGAAGTGAAGAGGGAGAGTCAGACCTTTAAATATTTTAAAATGTTACCCGTGTAATATGAGAGAATGTGAAACCAGTGTTAGAACTGATTTGGAAAGTTAGTATGAACATACAGAAGGCTATGAAAAACTGTGTCCTAAACCTGGAATTTTAAAGAATTCAGGATGTCAAAAAAGATCCACATCACACTCTTTAGCAAAGGTGTTGCTGATAAAAAGCCAATGCAATTCCAGCTGCTCCTGAATGTCTTTTATTTTACTTGAAGCAGAAGAAAACAGAGGAAAATCAGTAATTTGGAACAATCTGTTACTGTTTTTACTTATCCCGTTCCATTAATGTTGGAAAACCATATAGTGCTTATCTACCACACAGCAGAATTCCAAGAAACAGCGGCACTTTTTTACACCCAGGCATTATTTAATATTTTTGTTATGGCAACAAGATCAGCAAGTGAGAACAGGGACACTTGTATTCCTGAATTAACCTATGCTAACAAAAGAGCACTCTAAGTAATAGTAGGATCTTGGTATTTGGCAAGGGAAAGGTTATTGTTTCTGAACTTAAGGTCTGAAAATCTACATTCATATTTTTAAAGGAAATTTAAACATAAAAGAATCTTATTCTAATAAATTCTTTACTAAAATTTTGGAGGGGTACTTTCATTTGTTTTGTTGGAATTTCTTCAAGGGGCAAGATAGGAAAGTCCGACTTGGAAATTTTTCAAAATATATATGCATGTCATCGACTAAATTAATTCTATGCCAACCAAAATCAACAATGAACAAAGTCAATGATGTCTTTTCTCTGTGAAACAAACTAGATCACAAAGAATTTAAAAATTAAAGATCAAAGCCTTACAAAACCTTGAGCCCACCAAGTGATCAAATTTGTTTTTGTAGTTGTGGGCATACCTACCTAATTTTCATACCTAATATTTGAATATATTATTAACATTTGCTGCCACCTATCTTCATAAAAAAACTTAATTGTTCCAGTACTTCATGTTTTTTTACTCCACACAAATAATTTCCTTATTTTTTCAGAAGGCCTGATTCTGACTTGTTACTGGTTTGTACACTAAACATTGACCAGATTCAAGCTTCATCTTTCATATCTCATGAAATTTGGAAGAAAACAGAAAACTCTTAATAAGAAAATAATCTCATGCTTCTTCTCTCTTCTGCTCTCAGACAACCCCAAAGATACTACTCGTGTTCCTGTCTATGTAAGAATTTTGGATGTTAATGACAATGCCCCACAGTTTGCTGTATTCTACGACACTTTTGTCTGTGAAAATGCAAGAGCTGGACAGGTATGCGTTTGATAAACACTTCCCACTATTCAGTTTCACTACAGCACTCAATTATAGGTCATTCTTGACTATTGCTTAGGAAAAATCATATCTAAATTAGCTTTTGAAATGTTAAAAATGAAAGCAAAGAAGCTCTGTAAGTGAGGCTTAAGCATGAAATCTCAGTATGTTAGAAACACATCAGTGTTTCAGTCACCACTTTTCCTTACCTAACCTTGTACTGCTGTTAAATCCTGATGAGATATGTCCATGACATGGCCATGATTCACTTTGTCCTTAATTTCACAGAGTAGAACACTATATGTAACTAAAAAGTTTGATCTGTATTTTCAATAGTTCTCCAATAGAAAAATTCAGATATATTTCAATCCATGCTGATGGTGATTACAAGCAAAAAAAAACTGTCACTTTTTTTTTTCAATTGTTATATTCATCTTTCATTATCACACCAAAAGTTTCTGAAAAGAAAAAATACATTTTTAAATGGTAACATAATATTTTTCTTTTGCTTCTTAGAGGCTGCACAATGTGTACTTCAATTTAAGTGAAATGACTGTACTGCTTAATACCTAATTCCCAATAGGCAGTTGCTTATTACAACTCTTTAAAAAATGTTTTCTTATTACACATCCCAGAGCATAATTAGCCAAAAATAAAGTCTTTAAAATGGTAGCAGTAGTACCTCAATGCAACCCTCTCAGTACACTTGAAAAGAATGTGGTTAAGTGCCAGCTTGTCTTAACCATTGGAGTCCCACATGTATAGCTATATTGCAAATTTCACATTGAGGTTGCCATTCTTCTTCCAAAGTGACATCAGTTTGAACTTAGAACAAAGAATTTGAGGCTCAAATTTATAATGCATAAAATATCTAAAGGTACTGAGCAAGTGCATTTGTCTGCTGTGGCAGGCACAAGAGAATTCAAGCTGTTAGATAAAGAGAAATCACTGGCTAAAAGCAGAGAATTTTGGACAGTTGAAGTGTCTACTATATATGCTAAAAAAATATTTTAATCATTTTCAATATGACAAATGGATTAAGAATTGTAAAAGAAGAACATTGAATTTTCCTCTTCCACTTCCACAAAAAAAACCCCCAATGTTAAAAAAAGTATAAATGCATGAATCCACACATTTTACTCATCTGAGACTTCAGAATTTTTTCTGTGCAGGTTGCTAGTTCTAGAGCATACAGGAAATATTAATAGAACAGTTAAATTTCCATGTAAATGTATTTTAAGGAACAGTTTTTCTGCACAATCTAGACTATTGCAGTCAGTATAATTTAAAAGTAAATATAAAATTTATTTCTACATTGCATTGTTTCATTACTTACAATAATAATAAGCTATCAGTTAAAAAGTTGAATAAAATAGCACTAATCACTTATAACTAATAAATGAGGAGCTAAATAAGTTTTCACATCCACAAATGTTATTTAAATTGTTGTAGAGCTCAATAGTGTTTTTATCGGAAAAAAACCTGCCAAAGTTATTCAGGGGGCCATAAATATAAACATTTTGTAAAAAAATCTGAGTTGCAAATGATTGCTTAAAGAAAACAATTTGCAGAAAGAGAAAAAATATAATGCCGGATAACATGAATAATCTATTTGAATGTAATTATTTTCTTGTTTACTGGCAGCTCATAAATAAGACTTCTTATTTTTCCAATTCAATCTGTCCTGAGAGAATCTAATCAATCCAAACTGAACATGGTTCTCTGAGCTTGATTCCTCCCACATTTCTGCTATTTTTCTTCCCTTTCTGGTTTTCATAATTACATTTGATCCATGAAATTTATATCTTCTGTTAGGTCACTGAATGATGCTTCATCAGTCACAGATTCTGTGGTATTCATTTCAGTATTCCCCATCTACTAAGGACAGATATTGTAATGAATATTATACTTTTTCATTTACTTAATTTGTACAGAAGCCTAAATTTTATGCATACATATATATAGGCACACACATGCTATACATGATACCTGGGGAAGTGCACATGAGTTCATGCATACAAACGTACACATATATGCAAATATATAGCAAGAGAGAGATGTGACTTTTGTTATCTGAGTGAGTTGAAGGGCCTGTGACTGTTCTCCTGCTTGCTATTACTGCTGATGTCAGATCCTACCGTGAACTTACAAACCATGCAAATATCCTGTCTCAAAATGCTCAAGCCATACACAAGCAGCACCTCGGGCAGAATGCTATTTTGGTGGTTGCTGTTCTTTCGACCCCCCCAAAAATGAGGACAGTCTTGGTGTGATGGCATAAAGAGGACACAGGAGTTCATGTGACCTACACAAGGCTGACTCAATAGAGTTCAGGGAAATAAAGCTGCAAAATGCTCAGACTGCTGCAGCCCTGCAACTAAAGAAGTTCAGCTGTCCTCCGCCCCCAGGTGAGAAGAGCCAGGAGCTGGGCATCTGGACAGATGGAATCCCACTGGTTTTGTCAACTCCCAGCTGTCACACGTCTGGCAGCTCAGCTGCCAGCCTCCAAAGATCCTCTAATGTAAAAGATAAGAATCAGTTTAGAAAGCAGAAGTCGGTCCTGCTTTAGAGAGATCTTGCATGGAGGCCGAGTTTAACTTTTCTAAATATTCATTTTCTCTATAGTAGATGTATGAATATGGACCCTTCTTCTCTATTGCTAAATGATCTGCCAAAAGGAAAGAAGGCAGGAGTTGACCTTGGTCAGCAGCCAGGTGTGCACCCAACCGCTTCCTCCCCTCTCAACAATATAGGGTGAGAAAAGATGGAAAATAAAAATGGTTTGAGACAAATTCACAAATTACCATCACTGACAAAACAGTTTGGGGAAAATTAATTTAATATGCTGTCTATTAAACATGGGGTAGGATCGTGAGAAAAAAAGAGAGAACTAAAGCAACTTCTCTTAATACCACCCTTCGTCCCAGGTTCACCTTCACCACTCCACTTTATTTTCCCGGACACCCCTTTCTCCTCACACTTTTCCCTGTCCCAAGGTGAGCATTCCCCATGGACTGCATTCCTTCAGGATAAATCTGCTGCAGCATGGGATCACCTTCAGGACCACAGGAAAAGCCCGGCCCGGCCGGGGTCTCTCCCTGGCCGCAGGCCCATCCCTGCCGGCTCTCTGCCGGCCCCGGCCCCGCTCCCGCTGTCCCCCCGGGGCTCGCAGGGCTGTTTGTGGCTCGGTTCCCCTGGCTCAGCCCTGGCTGCCGGGCAGCGTTTTGCCCTCCCTTGGCCAGGCTTTCCCCGGGGCTCTCGCCCGCCCGCCCGTGGCTGAGGGGCTCAGCCGGGCCCTGCCCCGGCCCAGCCCCAGCACTGCCAGCACCAGGACGCCCCCACCTGACTCAAGTACTGCGATGTTTAAATGGCTTGTTATTATCTTGTTGTCAGCCTTTATTTTGCCAAATCCATACATGCCCGCTCCTTTTTCATATGGCCAAATGTTATGTAAATAGGTCTAGCTCATAATAGATTCTCTTTCAAAGACATTTTAAAATAGGAATGATGAAGTTCATTTTCCTTTTTCCAATAACTAAATTCAGTATAGATTATATAAACACACTACATTTCTTGACCCCATTCTTTTTATGCTGCTCGTCATGTTATCAGCTCATTTGACCCATATAACAATCCTTACCAGGGATGTTTTCCTCACCGTAATCTTGGTTAAACATGGCTTTTGGGATCTTCATATTTCCAGAAATTTCCTCTTTATATTCACCAAGTGTCTTTCTTAAAATAGGTAAAATTCATATCTCCTGAAAAAATAAAGTCCTTGAAGTTTTTTCCTAGCATTCAATTTTCTCTTCCTATTTTTACGATATTTCTATAAAAATTCCTTAAACCCTTTAATCCTGAAGTGTTATTTTATTTATTGCATCTCTTTCTTTTGACAAATGACAATTTGTGATCAATTTTCTTGAAATTTTGTTCTCTTTCTTTCCCAGTTTCCCTGATTCATTCTTACTTCAGTTTCTTCACTCTAAGATCTGTGGTTATATACATATATATATATATATATATATATATATAAGGCTTATATCTTCCAGTGGTTTTACAAGTATCAGAATTTTGTCTTTGCCTTACCTTTTTCAAAAACTCTCAGAGGTTTTCTTTTATTCACTTGGGCAAGAAGGTTTTTGAAAACTGATGTAGGGTTTCTAAAGAGTTCTACTTTCTTATTCTTAATAGCACATTATATTTTCTTTATATATCCTAAATTTAAAAGCAAATATATAGTATATCCTGGAAGAAAACATCTACGAAAACAGTTGATAGAACTGATGCTTGCAGAGGTCCTACCAAGCAGAAAGATGAATTTTATTGGAATAAGCAGACCATACAGCAAACTTGTTTCCACTATTTTATCAGTTTTTTAGTGGCTAACAAACCTCATGACTGCTACTGGGCCCTTAATTTCCTGATGTTTTCATACAGAGTAACACCCTTGGCTTTCCTGCAGTTACTGCTTTGTGGCATTTCTAGAAAGAAACAACTCAGAGTGTTATACCCCTATTTGCAAGGTAATTGGCATTTCCCATGGCTGGAAGGTGTAAGAGGAAAAAAACTGCTTGAAAACACATGTAAACAGGATTTATCACGTTAAAATGGTAAAAAAATATTATCAGGAAATAGTTTTCTGACTGTAATATAAGGCTTTCAATTCTACATACTCTCTTTAAATTATGAGTCTGAACACTCAGCATATCAGTTGATTTTCATCAGCCTAACAACTACAACTGAACCATATTCATGGTCTCTAGTCGTGAAGTAAAATAAACTAGTGTTTTTTTCACTTAATTTTGTAAATACCTATGAAAATTCATATGCTAATAGCTCACTAAATAATTAAAATATTTATTCTTCAGAAGCAAATAATATTCTATGCTTGCATTATCAGTTTTATTAATTTAGAAAGTTATTGGAGGACTATGTAAGAAAACAGATTTAGAGAAAGACAAAACTCCTGTTGAAAAAGCAAGGAAGCTGCTATATTAAAAGAAATCCCATCCTTGCCTCATCAAGAAATTTACTGCTATTTTCTGGATAGACAAGAGAGAAGTTGGGAATTAGTCATGACTTTTTAAAGGCAAAGAGGAGTGCATAGCAGATGATGACGTTAAAAGATGATCAGACCTGACAAAAGCTGTGATATGAAGAGAAATGGCTGTATTTGGAAGAACTGGAAGAGGAAAAACAAACAGGGTTTACACCACAGGGAAGGAATAGTGTTAAAAATTAGATGTAATTCCATGGTTGAAAAAGCAGTGCAATTAAAAATTATGGCTAAGAAATGAAGAGTAAAAATTATCTAGACCAAAGATTAATCTGTATTTGGAAGTTAAACTTAAGAACATAACTGAACCTTCAAGCATGCATGCACAAAATCCAGACTTAAATTCAGAATATATGCCATGGGTTAAAAAAAGCCCCAGACTGAAATCAGGCAAAAAAAAAGTCAAAAATTAAAGTCTAAACATTCATTTTGCTTGAGAAACAATATTTTGCCACTCCTAGGCATAGAAATTTCAGTGAAAAAGCCACATAGTCACTTACCTGAAAGGTAAATAAGTGCTCATAAATGGCTTGCCATTACCTTCCCCAAAAATACCCAAAATCTTTTGTAGGCATTGCAGAAAGCACTGGTGCAGTTAACTTTGAGAACTATGATGCCAGATTCTCATCCCGCTCCGAACCTGTGCATCTCTAGAATGTGCTGCAATGTTTTGAAGCACATTCAGTCAAGAGTCGAAATATGTATAAAATATAACTGGCATTTTTCATCTCAGCTATCATATTGTTATGTTCTGCCATAGTAATAAATAGAAAAATCATGTTTAAGAAAAAATGCTTTAATGTTGAAATGTAATTTGAAACATTAACTTCCCTTTCAAAAGTATGTTTGACAAAATGCCATTTTTATCATGAAAACAGAAAATGTCATGTGAAATACTGTATTAGGTGTTGATTTGAATTTAAAACAATGAACCAAAGATGAAGTATAAAAACTGCCAGCTACAGCTAAGATTATTTTTGGCAAGTTTTGTCCACTGTGTAGCTACAAAAATATAGGTGCACATGTACTACCAAGTGAAAAATACAGATGCTCTTGTTCAAAAAAATTTACATAAGACACTTGTTGAACATTTTTGTTTAGATTTTATATTTTACAGAATAAATATTAAGTCAATATGTGTGAATGCTAAGTTATTCTAATGCTTTTCATCTTCTTTGATCAGACAGCTCTATCAAAAACCTAGGTGTATTTGGGTTTGTTGTTTTTTTTGTTGTTGTTGTTTGCTTGCTTTTTTTCCTGCAGCTTATTCAAACCATAAGTGCAGTAGACAAAGATGATCCTCTTGGTGGACAAAAATTCTTCTTCAGTTTAGCTGCTGTGAATCCTAACTTCACTGTTCAGGATAACGAAGGTAAAATTCATGCCTGTTCCAAGGAAGGAGATTTATCTTTTCTGTCTGGTTACATTCCTGAAATATATTTGCTTTTGATGTCTATCAATATGTAGAGAAGCTGTGAAGTTGCTACTATCAAGAATACTTTACCTGAATGAGGTTTAGGGCTTCTACATTTTTATCTGTATAAGTGAGGCAGAAATGTGATAAAAAAAAATATAAAGAAAATCAGAAATGTGTTGGCTTGGGGTAAGAGACAGATGAAGTACTTGACTGCAAAAGAAAAAAAAAGCTTTCAAAAATTCCTTCAGCTGATAAGTTAAGATTTTTCACTTTAGCTTTTTGTCACATAGATTTGATTCCCCTGGCCTTCTGTTTTGCTTCTTTCTGACCATTAATGAAAATAATGGTTCTGAGAGCCACTTTGGCTTTTTTTTTGATCTTTTCTCAATCTGTCTTTATGTGAGAAAATTTTCAGAAGCCTCTGTTGGGGAATTGAGACTATGAATTTGGCCTTCATTTTAGTATGACTAATTAAGAGGACTCTAGATCACAGAAGAAATAAATGATAAGGGACATGGTATCAGCCTTCAAATGTGTCAAAGGCAACATAATCCTCTGTTCCTGATGAATATTCCAGGATGTAGCAGACTACAAACAGCAGCAGAAAAAAGTTTTCTAATGGTAAGGAAAGTTAATTAATTAAATCAAATAGTTTGGGTACCTTATAAAATCCATTGCAGAAGAGGTATTTAAAGATCCATAAGACATGTAATTTTTGATGCTGAATGACAACAAATAGTGTTAAAATACACAAAACCAGCAGAGGGAAGCAATAAGGAAAAGCTTTGTGTTTTGCATCTTGAAGTCTATGAAAAAATACATGATTTAATATTTTAAATAAAGATTATATCTTGATGACTAGGTCCTGAATACAGAGATGTACATATCTTGATATTTCTTTGTTATCTGTAATTATTTTCTTTCTATTTGCACATGGGTTATTTTAGTTGTGCCTGAAGTTGATTGTTAAGATAGCTAACGACACAGCCAACCTCAAGCAATCCACAGATATTATGAAAATTAAATTTTCCTTTTAGTGCACACTAAACCTGTATTTTCTCTCTTTTGGACTAAAAAGTTATGAACTCTGGTGTTGGCTGCCACTCTAGTTTTGGGGCTCTAACAGTGTAAGAAATAGTGTCTCTGTGTTGTTCGTTCATTCTCTTCCTTTCCTTCCCTCTGGCCACTCAGTGGACAGCTTTTGATGCTGAAGTATCCTGCACCCAACTAAGATGTGTCTGCTACAGATACAGATTAGTAAATTCACATTGCAAAAATGTGCAGGAATACCTACCATCTTTCACATTTTCTCAATTCCTAAGACAATTTCTATCCAAAAAAAGCTCTACTTCATGTGTTAAGGTACAAAATTAATTGTTCTACGGTGTGTTGAAAGTGGTTTGGTGTAGCAAATCTCATACTGAGTTGACAGATAGTATTCCTGTGGGTGTTGTCACAGCTGATTCATGGAAAGAATGTTCCAGAACAGAGTACTTGTTGAACTGCACAAAGTGGAAGGTTATTTTTCCTCAGTTGGTCATTGCGTTTCAGAGTTTCAGCCCTGAACTTTAACTGTGTCACACACTGCATGCTTTAATCTATAAAACATTTTAAGTTGTGAGAAATCCTCTTTGGAATCGTGCAAAAGTGGTGCAGAGGCACAGAGAAGCAGGCCACATGTACCTAAAAACTTATGAATAGCTTTCTGATCAAATAGCAATGCTGTTAGAGAAACAGAGATATCACTGTGATATCAGGAACTATTTTTAAGTCATACAAAGATTTGCATCTACTATAAGTGATATGGTTTCTGTCCGTATAGCCTACAGCGGTATCTTTTAATCGATCTAGATAACACTGCCAGGATTTTGACGAGAAGGAATGGCTTTAGTCGGCATGAAATAAGTACTTACCTTCTCCCGGTGGTGATCTCGGACAACGACTACCCGATCCAGAGCAGCACGGGCACGCTGACCATCCGGGTGTGTGCCTGTGACAGCCGGGGGAACATGCAGTCCTGCAGCGCCGAGGCCTTGCTCCTCCCTGCCGGCCTCAGCACGGGGGCACTGGTGGCCATTCTCCTCTGCATCATTATCCTGCTAGGTAAGAAGAGAAACGCATCTTCCCCTAGCCAGGAGAAAATATTTAAGGCCTGACTCGTTTCACTGAATTATGCAGGTTAATAGAATTAATCATCCTGGATTTTGCATATATATATATATATATGCATATATATAAGAATATAACTGCAGCTTGAAATAAAAAGGAAAAAACAAAGGCAAACCCTCGTTATCTGCTGATTTTAAAGTATTCAAGACCCAGACTGTTAAAACTATCACTGTGCTACCAGAAGCTCATTTATGTTCTTTCATTAAGTTGTCCAAAAAAAGAAAGTTCAGAGAGGATGAATAGTATAATCAAAAATTGCTTTACTGCCTTTCATTTTAGATTGTTTTTTTGAGGAAAAGCCTCTTTTTCATTTAAATAACTACTACAAATCAATATGCAGTATATATTTCACATATAATATAACAGTAAGCAGTAATTTTATTGCATCAAAGCCCTGTCTATCCAGTGGTTTCAGTGCTGTAATGAAAAAAAAAGAAAAATTTTGTAAAGCCTCCATTTTGTGGTTTTCAGAATAACACTTAATGACCTATAATTCAACTCAAACCCACTTTTTAACAATATCCTTTGAGCTTGAAAAAGGAAAAAATATCTTCAGAATAGACTTGGCTATTTTAAAGCTCATTACAGCTACAGAAGGAACATGCAGGCAAGCTCATGGTCCTGTAAAGCAGAGCACACAATGTGTGCAAAATAGGTTTTTGATAAAGACTTTATTGTGCTACCCTTACACAGATAGAGGTGTTTATCCAGTTTTCAAAAAAAATGAGTTGGTGAAGTGTAGCTGAAATGTAATTCTTGTACCTGGTGTATTTGCTGCCAAGAAATTGTTAAATAGAGATCTTTACCCATTCTTTGTTTCCTTCTTTAAGTTATAGTGGTGCTATTTGCTGCTCTGAAGAGACAACGAAAGAAGGAGCCTTTGATCCTCTCTAAAGAGGACATCAGAGACAACATTGTGAGTTACAATGACGAAGGTGGTGGAGAGGAAGACACCCAAGCCTTTGATATCGGCACGCTGAGGAATCCTGCAGCTATCGAAGATAAGAAGCTTCGACGAGACATTATCCCTGAAACGTTATTTGTGCCACGGAGGACTCCTTCGGCACCAGACAACACGGATGTCCGAGATTTCATTAACCAAAGGCTAAAAGAGCATGACACTGATCCCTCTGCGCCGCCGTATGACTCGCTTGCAACCTATGCCTATGAAGGAAATGATTCCATAGCTGAATCCTTGAGCTCCTTGGAGTCAGGTACTACCGAAGGAGACCAAAACTATGATTACCTCCGAGAGTGGGGGCCTCGGTTTAATAAGCTAGCTGAGATGTACGGTGGAGGAGAAAGTGACAAAGACACTTCTTAACCTACAGTAGGCTACTTTTTTCTTTTCCTTTGAGCGGAAGTAATTTTACAGACACCTTCTGCACTCAACAGTATTTAACATTCAGGAAAATTTTCCTGCCACTCAGCACAATGGTTTCCTTTTAAAATTTGTTTTAAACTTGTCCATTAATGTCATTCATTCTTTCTAGTAGGATGCCACTTGGAATATATACAACATTTTATTTAATCAACTTCCAAGAGCCAAAGCTATGGAAATTCTGTGTTGTACATTTTAGTAAGTAAAATAAAAAAATATCTTACCTTCAAAAATTTGAACAGGGTGATAATCCCTTAAGCAACCTCATGTACAAGCCGCTTCTGTTAGGTACATGTCCTATTCCTGCAAGTGCAGCTTTTAAGATGGCAAAGAAGAAAAAAAATCCAATATGTCCTGTTCTGTACATTAAAATAAAACAAAATGTACACGTGGTGTTAATAAGTGTAATATGCAGCTGGTTTAAAAAAAAGTTTGTGCAACTTCATTTCATCAAATTCTATCTGCCAATGTTTTATATTTATATTTTTGTATTTATTTTTAAAAAATAAACCAGTTTTTACAACTATGTTAATGCTTGCCTGCCTGTTCTGGCCATGAGTTTCAAGCTTGAAAAGAACGTGGAATTTCTCCAGTAACATCACAACCAATTGCTAATACTTCTGTGCTGAATCGTCCATACATACAACACAGTCTGAAGTGCTTGTGCTCACTGAGACAGGAACAAGTGATACACTTACTTGCTTGCTCAAAAGTGCTACTTTCAATGTTTATGAGAATTGTTTTTGTTTTATTTTTTGACTAAACTAGTAATATTCTGGTCTAGAAGTATGAATTACTATCTTGTGTCAACTCAAATAGCCTTATTCTAAAAATATGCTGGCACAATTTATCTATCCAAACACATAACATTAGTTTCAAAATCTCAGTTCATTTGTTCTATAGTTCTCCATTTTGAGTCATATCATCAGAGGTGATCTGTAAGTGTAACAGATAAAGCTTAAAAATAAGTACAATCATTTTTAAGCTCTATTTTTCCAAAGACAAATCGTTTGCTGACAAACACTGTGTTGTTTTTCAACCACCTTTAAAGCTGTCAATTAAAGACTGAGAAAGTGTCACAAAAACTAGCATCCCCTCCCCTCAATTTACTGAGTTTTCTCTAGTCTATTAAAAAAAAACCTGAGCAACTAGCCAACTGTAACTAAAAATATACTTTAGCTATCACAAAACAAAAAACATTTTGAAATGTCTCTAATCTTTAGGTTACACAATTTTTGTACTGGACAAGCATTGCAATTTTGAAATGCTGCTGAGATTAAATAATTTCAGAGCCAAAGCAGTATGTTACAAGGTCTGTATTAGCTACTGTGGGAGAAACAAACCTGAAGGTTTATTCCTTCTCTCTTTCTCTTAGCTAATTATTTGCATAAAACCAAGAGATATTGAAAATATATTAGTCCTTTGAAAAGTGGGATGCTGCATTCTCTTTTAGTTGGATATTTCTTCTCCTTAATGGGCTGATAAAACCAAGTGAAGTTGAAAGCTGAATACCCTACCATTAAGCAATCTATTTTGGTGCAACGGAGACCAAATTTTTATTGACTTGATATCAAGTTAAACTATTTGATCTATTAAGAAACTGTGAATATTATGGATTTTTCTTCATTTCAATCAATAATACTTTTATTAACTAAGGATTTTTTATATTCCTTAATAGAATATGCATCTGAGAACATTAAGAAATGTCTTACATAAGCAGCATTACAAAGCTTTTTTAAAGTCTTACAGGTGATAGAAACAGTTGATCTTCTTTATGATCACCTAGTGAACAGGACCAAATATTTTTCTTCCAAATGCTCATTAGTCCTTCAACAGAATGCCATAAGAAGAAACAAACAAATAATATCCATCTATTAAGTACATAAATAGACAAAAAACATTCTTCTAAAACTAATTTTGTCTACAGCAAGAAGGAGATCAGTGACACCCTACTTATTTAACTGAGTACATTCTAGGACAGAAAATAAAATAGGCTGTAAAACATCTGGGTTTTCACCTCTTTGCTAAAAAAAAATTGGTTAAACAAGTCCAGATAACACTTTTACATATAACTCAGTAAAAATCTCTAGTCTGTTTCCAGAAGGATAAAACAAATACATCTGCTTCACTATTTGTCTATATCAGCAAACATCAAATAAGGCTCTATAACTTTGATTTGCATTACAGTACTAATTTCCAAGTAATAGCTATAAGGAAATATTTTTCTATCACTGTGTTGAGGGAAGTTATAATTGTTCAGCAGAATTTGAATCTCATGTTTAAAATTTAATCCTTAATGTTTAAATAAAACATTAGTATACATTGTGAAAGTATATATCCATATATAAACATACTACTAACATTATTATATAAATAGTATAAATTAATATTTTTTTTTTTAATTTTTGCCATATCATTGGACATTTGTTTCTCAGTACATTTTAGGAAATTTTAGGAATCAAGAGCACTATTACAATGTTTTCTTGCACCCTTAAAATAGTGAGGAATTGTAAAGTGAAACTCCTAGACAACTCAAAGTGGAAAAAATGTAAAACAGGATACCTGCTTCCCAAGTAGTGTCTCCTAAGCTTAGCCACATGAAATCAGATGAAAACTAACAAAACATACCAATATGTAGTAAACAAAATCATGGTATTGTTTAGTCTGAATGAATTTTCTGTATGTTTTTAAGACAAAAATGCCACAAGATGACAGAAACAAAGAAAATACATTAATATTTCAGTTGGATCTTGCAAGTTATCTACAACAAGACATCTTACAAACATTTAAATAGTCAGAGGCATATAAAAACTAATGTAGCAGTGGACATGCAGTAGACAGTGATTTCTTAGAGTCTGTTGCAAAATAAAAATATATTTAAAGGGATTTTATGAAAGCTGAGGTGCATGAGATCTTATGTAAGTGGCAACAATGTAAAAAGTAAAATTTCACAGAGCCTTCAGGAAAATGGTTGATAGGAGGAGCAGTCTAAGGAGAGTAAAAAAACCCCAGAGAACAAAACAAGCACTTAAACCAACAAAATCCTCACAAATGATGTCAGTATCCACCAGCTTCCAACTCTGTAAATGCAGATGTTTTTCACTCATTCACTCTCTACAATATATCATATTTCCCTCATTTCTCCTTCAGTCATATGTAATACTATTGCCAGGCCAAACTATTTATTGGTTGTGTTACTGTCTGTCAAGAGTTTACCCTTCATTCCTCTCACTCATCTTGATTTTGTAAATTCTTCCTGCTCTACCTGTCACACAAAGTTGGAAGAAAGAGGACCAAATTTGCTACATTTTCCTTCAAACCTGTTACTATAATTTGCTCCCCTGGGTTAACTACATAAACGCTTTTAAATGGCTACAGAGTTGCTTGTTACGCTAATCACAGAATAGTGGGAAGGGACCCACAGGAATCATAATGAATGATGGAGAAAATTAAATGCAATCATTTCTCTAGGTTACTTCAGACTGGTTTGCCCTTATTCTATCAGAATTAAAATTTTTGACAGTGTTTCTCTACATTTATCCAATATTGAGTAAAAAACAAATACTCTCCTTTGCCCCATCACTAACTACTGAAAAGAAAAAAAAAAAACAAAACCAATGAACCTTTCAGGAAGCTAGTTACTAACATACATCTTATATAATATAAAGAGTTTAATTTTACTTACTTTTTGTCAAATAACTTGAACTAGAGACTGGACAATAAAAGTTACCAGAAGCCTTTAAACACTGTGTTATCATTATCAGGCTCACTTGAACAGCAAAGGAATCACTCAGCTGTAATCTGTTCATAGCAAGATGCACAAATACATGTTCAAGCTAAAACAATTTCACTTACTTGTAACAGTGTTATCTATTATGTTCAAAGCCATCCTATAAATAGTAAACATAAGGAGATAATTGGAAATATAAGGAGACATGTGAATACAACTTCTATTTTTCCAACAAAGTATTCTGGGCTTCTGTATTGTCTCTCCAGTTTTTCAGATTTTTTAAACTCTATTCTAATACGGTTAAGCTGGATGAAAAGTCACTTTCTACATGACAGAAGATAGAACTAATAACATGGGAATTCACAAATATAATAAGCCAGACAGAATTTCAAAAATTCTTTTGTTTTCTTCACAGCTATTTTTGTTTCTATTTTAAAAGAATATAGTCAACCATGAAATCAAAATGACAGTTTTTAAACCAATATTTTTTTTATGAATGTCAGTTTCTCTTGGGTTTTTCCCTCCAAAAAATCAAAAAAAGCATTTAATTTTTGAGAAAATTCTTTGTCTTTAAATTGATGTCAACCCCAATAAACAAGGAAAAAATAAAAATATACATGAAAAGAAATATGAACTATTCATTTGTTTTTTGACTACAAGCCAGAAATCATAGAAATTTTGAACTTATATTTGGCAAAATAATTTTGTACATTTCCATTAAAGTTAGCAAAATGGTATTTTGTTTATTGATTAAGTTTTGGAAGATAAGCATTTGATAGATATTTTTGCACCCATGTCTAGGTACTGTGTGTGGAAACTTCTAGCAAAAATGTTTTGGCAGAAGCAGAACAAATTCTAGTTTATTATATTCACTGAAAGGTCAGAGGAAAATCAACAACGAATCTAGAAAGTATCTTTCATGTATCAAACAGGTAGCATGACTTGCAAATTTGCAGTCACAGAACCTACAGCAAATACAAATTAACTAATCACGAACAACTGAAAAGATCTGGAAGTCATGACATTGTTGAAAAACATTAATTTACAGAGGAACTTTGGTGTATTTAACATAGATGCATAAGAAATATTTCCATCATATTGCATGTTACTATTGTGTATTTCATCCTCGTAATTCCAGAATTGTAAGATTTACAGAATCAATGTTTCTTTTTTAATTTTTTTCTGGTTTCTGGATAGTGTGATAACCTGCTTGTTCACAAGGACAGAAATTAAGATTTGGCCATCCACAGTAATTTTATTTGTATGTTGTGGATCAAGGCAGTCACACTTACATATGGAGGAGGGAACTTCAGATTACATAGTCTGCTTAGCTTTCCAGAAGGTATTTGACAAGATCCATCATCCCATCATCAACGTTTCTGGAGAATTTAAACTAGAAAATCTTCTCCTCAACAAATTACGGAAAAATCAGTTAAAGTAAATATTCAATAATTCTAATAGAAGATGGACAAAAGTGG